TTTATTGACCAAAAGTGCGACTTTACGAAAAGCTATAAATGAGCAATGAATTCAACTTTCTCTAACTAGAAAAAAACTTCCTAAAAACCCAAAAGTTAAACAAAAATATTTCAATAAACCATTTTCTCCTTAATCACATTCAATCATGAATCAAAATTTCATTTTGGTATTCATTTTATTGGCTACACTTTCAATAGTTAATGCTCAACTTCATAAAAGAACCACTAATTTTGGACCATGCCCTGTAGATCCGCCTCCACCCCAATTCACTATAACTCTTTCACCTGATCCTATTGTTCCCGGGAAGAATGTCGATGTTACTCTTACTGGGAAACTAGACGTGGATGTACCCGCAGATTCAGAAGATATAATGCAGTTTCCATTCCTTGATGAAACCTTTGTCCCAATAGTTGACCCATTTACTGTAGGTTTATGTAATGCTACGGGAATTAAATGTCCAATTCAAACAGGAACCGAAATTAGTACAACAGTGTCAGTTCCAGTACCAGCCGCAAGTGACATAACTGTAGGAACCACATTTGTGGTTGCTATTATTGATGAGACTGAAGACTTTATCGAGTGCACGATTTCTGACCCTATTGCTTAATTGAAAGCTACATTTTTTGCTAAATCGGTTTAATATATACCTATTATATATTTACTATATTATTAAAATATTATAAAAATATAAATTTCTTAAATATATATTGCTCACCGGAGGTGAAATTCACCGGTTATATTATTAATCAATAAAATTGCAGGATCTTGTGTAACTATAATACAGAAATTTTAAAGAAAAAAAATTAAAAATCATTAATATCTTAATTTTACATATAATAAACACTCTAACCCTAATATAGACCTCGCCCTAACCCTAAAGTTAAAGAAAAAATGTTTTGTTTATTAAGAAATAATTAAACTGAAATATATACCGGTGAATTTCACCTCTGGTTACTCTCAAATAATTTCTAAAATAAAATAAAATAAATTTAATATATTAATAAGAAAAAAAATGTTTTCCAAATGATGCAATACGTAATGTCTTTTAATTGGTCGATCAGATGTAGGCATGTAGGGATGTGAAGTAGTTTAACCTAGTTAAAAACGTGATATATTCAATTGAACCTTAACTAGTTAGTCAGTACATTGGTACAATATAAATTCTGACCCCTCGTCAGACTACTTAACATCTCTAATTGCACTTTGTGGTGATTCGCGTCATATCGGTCAAGTGTAATGTCTGAAATTTTTAAGAGTAATGATATCGGTCAAGGGTAAAATATTAGCATTTTCTGCGGTGATAACTAGTCGATTCCGTCCGTGCTAAATTGTAAATTCTGCAAGGTTTCTGTGGTATTTTTATCGTTATGGTTTCTGCGATCTTTTGATATAAAATTTCTTTACATTTCCTAAAAAAAAAAAAAGGATCGGAGGGGTAAAATTAAAATATTTATATTTAAAATTTTCAACCGTTTTCTGTGGCAACTCTGAAGTATTTTATGATATTTCCGTGGAAGTTCTGCGATATACGACACTTTCTGCATCCACCCCTCAATTCCGTGACTTCTGCGGCATTCCGTGCAACGCAGAAAATCATCGGCCCTGATCATGGTATACGCTAATTGTTTGGACTAGAGGTTGGAACCGGTTTTAATAATTCGGGTTTATCACGTGAATTTTGTGATATTTTAAAAATTTATCCAATTAAATTTTAATAAATTCTAAAATATCACAAAATTCATGTGATAAACCCGAATTATTAAAACCGGTTCCAACCTCTAGTTTGGACCCCAAAATTATTATATCCGGTAAATTAATTTATACTTTAATAACTCTTTTTACGATTTAACAACCCGTCAAACCAATGACTTACCTTAAAATTAATGAGATTTTGTAGTTAATAAAATATTAAGGTTTAAAAAAGGGCCCAAAAAACAAAATTGGCGGATACTATGATCTACAATAAGAAATAGTCAAAAAACATTAAAGAATGACGCACTTTATACGTTGGACTAACGTCCAAATTTCACAAACGCGCCGTAATATTAATATGAAACAACTTTGGAGATACAGTATTATATAAACATTTCTAGAATAAATAGAATATTTGATTTTTTATTTTATTTTACCATTCTAAAATATGCATGAACACTTGGACGTGAACGTACCAAATGCCCTTCAGCATCAAAAACTAGGGTGGGAATACCCTAGCCATGGCGAAGAAAATTTGAAAAATGCCCAGATCATGTGATAATTAGCCAATAGTGAATGACATAATGTTACACGATCAGAAAATGTTCGTTTTGAAAAAATCGCTTTTTTCAAAAATCGACATAAGAACCATCCTTTGTGCTCTAACAAAAAGTTTTCCCTAACACCAATTTTACTATAAACCTACTAAAATCGAACCCTAACCCTAACCCAAACCTAAACGAACTTCAAAAATTTTATTGATATCACATGACCCGGACATTTTCTTCGCCATGGCTAGGATACTTCTATCAGCATAGCGATCTTTAAATCCGATTGGTCAATTACTGAAATGTATCATCACATATACATCGCATATATCATATGACTTTAAACGAATTGTTTGCCACGAAAATGAATTGTACAGGGAAACTGAATACATATTCAGAAACTACACCTTTCGCTCTATATACTGTCAAAATAATCACGAAAACGGAGGAATAATCATGAGGGTTAGCTATAGAGCATTTTTTTTAATTCAGTTGTTACTTATACTATATAAGAATCTCTAAAACAAAGGAAATAGTTTTTTTTTTTTTTTTTATAGTTAGATCTCTAGTAAGCGAGTTTGTTCTCAAGATTGATAGTATGTTAAGATTATATTTA